TGGGGGTGCGAGCCTGAGCGTGCGGAGCCTAGGGGTGCTGAGCCTACGGGTACTGAGTCTGGGGGTTCTGAGCCTGCGCGTGAGGAGCCTGGAGGTACTACGCCTGAGGGTGTTGAGTCTGGGGGTGCTGAGTCTGGGGGTGCTGAGCCTGAGCGTGAGGAGCCTGGGGGTGCTGAGTCTGGAGGTGCTGAGCCTGGGGGTGCTGAGTCTGGAGGTGCTGAGCCTGGAGGTGCTGAGTCTGGGGGTGCGGCGCCTGAGGGTACTGAGACTGCTTGCGTGTCCGCGGTCTCCTTGGAGGGCCGCCTTCGTCTGCGAACGCCTCTCTCCCCATAGCAGCTGCACGAGTGGTACGCTCGCCGTCAGGGTCGCGCTGCTGGAGCTAGGGGCTCTGTCGCTGGAGGCGCTGCTGCTGACGCTGGCGCTGGGAGTACTGCGGGTACTTTGTCTGGTGGGGGTACTGGAGCCACTCGACCCAGAGGTGCTCGTACGGGAGGTTCTAGAGCTGCTGGGGCTGGAGTTGCTCCGTCTGGGGGTGCTATTGCTGGGAGCACTAGGACGCTGGTACTAGCGGTGCTGTGGGTGCTGCTGCTGGTGACGCTGGTACTGGCGGTGCTGGCGCTGGAGGTTCTGCGGCTGCTGGTGGTGCTGGTACTCGAGGAGCTGGAGCTGGAGGGTCTGGAGCTGCTGGAGGCACTGGAGCTACTGGTGCTGGTGGCACTGCTGCGCAGCGACTGTTCTTCTCTCCGCTGTCGCCGTCGTCTCTTCCGCCTCCTGACACAGTGCTTCGCCAGGTTCTTACCCTGCCGTCTTCCATTGGCCAACCGTTACAGCCGGGCTTCCCCCTGCCTGCTCCCTCTCCGTACACTGAGCAGACAGGAGGTCCTGATGAGCGAAGCGAGCCTGCGTCCCGTCCGGTCTCGCTTGTTCGCACTGGTCCCACTGGTTGCACTGGTCGCACTAGTCGTGTCAGTCGTGAGCGTCCTCCTCCTGTCCCTGGCACGCACACTATGGCACTTCGTCCTTCCTCTGTTCCACAGCGTGTTCCTCTGCCGGCACCTCCTGCGTCTTCGTTGTCTGACGTTCCGGGCCCTGAGTCTGACCGGTTTCGCGCTGAGCACCCTACTGTCACGCGTCTGCTAGCCACTGTTGTCACTGACCCGTCGTTTGAGTCTGCTGCTGCGTTTGCCTTAGTCGCTGAGCTAGTTGACTTTGCTGCTGCCTGTCGTCTAGACTACGCTGCTAGCCTTGTTGCTGAGTCTGAGTCTGTCTGTCCTCCATCCGTCGGGGGTGAGTGTGCTCTTGGCACGGACGTCCTTGAGGACAGGCACGAGGACCTTGAGTGTCTTGCAGCCGCTGCGCCTCATCTCGTGGCCATGCTACTTGCCCCTGAGGGAGACCCGGATGCACCAGACATCCCGACCCCGCGCTCTTACGTTGAGGCAATCGCGGGTCCCTACTCCTCTCAGTGGCAGGCAGCCATGGACGCGGAGATGGCATCCTGGAAGTCCACAGGCACTTACGTCGATGAGGTTCCCCCTCCCGGGGCGAACATCGTCGATGGCATGTGGATTTTCAGGGTGAAGCGGCCGCCGGGTTCTCCGTCTGTCTTCAAGGCTCGTTACGTTGCTCGAGGCTTCAGTCAGCGAGAGGGAGTTGACTTCTTCCAGACCTTCTCCCCCACCCCGAAGATGACCACTCTTCGGGTGCTGCTGCACGTTGCCGCTCAGCGTGACTACGAGCTTCACTCTCTTGACTTCAGCACAGCCTTCTTACAGGGCAGCCTGCACGAGGAGATCTGGCTGCGCCGCCCACCTGGCTTCACTGGGTCGTTCCCTCCCGGTACCCAGTGGAGCCTCCGGCGGCCAGTCTACGGTCTCCGCCAGGCGCCTCGTGAGTGGCACGACACACTGAGGACGACACTTGCGGCTCTTGGGTTTGCTCCTTCGACTGCTGACCCGTCGCTGTTTCTGCGCACCGACACTTCGCTGCCGTCGTTCTACATCCTCGTGTACGTCGACGACTTGGTCTTTGCCACTGCTGACACTGAGGCTCTCGCCCTGGTGAAGTCGGAGCTGCAGAAGAGACACACGTGCACAGACCTGGGTGAGCTACGCAGCTACCTTGGCTTGCAGATCACCCGGGACAGAGCACGACGCACCATTACCCTGACTCAGTCACACATGGTGCAGCGGGTCCTTCAGCGCTTCGGCTTCACCTGGTCCTCCCTACAATCCACTCCTCTAGCTATAGGTCACTCGCTCTCAGCTCCACCTTCGGACGAGTCCGTAGAGCCGAGTGGTCCTTACCCAGAGCTAGTGGGCTGCCTCATGTACCTGATGACCTGCACTCGACCTGACCTTGCATACCCTCTTGGCCTTCTGGCTCGCTACGTGGCTCCTGGTAGGCACCAAAAGGTGCACTGGGAAGCTGCGAAGAGGGTACTGCGCTACTTGTGCAGTACATCAGGCATGGGGCTCGTGCTTGGAGGACGGGGTGACGTTGTCCTCACTAGACACTCTGACGCGTCTTGGGTTGATGACCAGGCTACGCAGCGGTCGTCACAGGGTTACACCTTCAGTCTTGGCTCTGGCTCTGTTTCTTGGCGGTCTACACGCTCGTCTTCTGTTCTCAGCTCCAGTTGTGAGGCTGAGATCTACGCCACAGCCATGGCTGCCCAGGAGTTACGCTGGCTCACCTACCTGCTTACTGACTTCGGAGAGCGGCCTCGTTCTCCTCCAGTTCTGTACGTTGACAACAAGGCCGCCATTGCCTTGTGTCAGGAGCACAGACTGGAGCACAGAACGAAGCACATCGTTACTTCCTGGCTCGAGAGTTGCAGCAGCGTGGTCAGCTTCGTCTTGCTCACGTGGCCACTCAGGCCAACACTGCTGATATATTCACCAAGGCACTTCCGTCTGGTGATCATCAGCGCTTCTGTACCTTGTTAGGCCTTGTACCTACGTTTCCACACTTGCTGTAGGCTTTGCTTGTACTGTGATCTATATACATATACCTGCATGCTTGCTCTTGCTAGGTGGTGATCACTGTGCTGTTCTTGTTGCATATATATCTCTGCATGTGGACAGGCCTTGTGGCCCTTTGCTTGTGCTCAGTGTGTGTGGTGACGTTGTGATCCACCCTGAGCTTGCTTTGCTTTGCTTGACTGGTCTTGTGACCCCTTGTTCTCCCCCACTTTGCCTATGGGCAGGGCTCAGGTTTGGATTTGGCCTACTCACGATTGGCAGTGTAGCTTTTTCAAAAACCCTTATGGGCAGTGTGTACTTTTCTGTTACACTGATAGAGCAGTGTAACATCAGGTTTTAAAAAATTTTACCCTGCATCATCAGTGTGGTTTCTTTTCGACAAAAACAACTAGTAATTTGGGGGATGGAGGAATGGCGGTGTGTGGCGAAACTGTTTGCTGTGCTTGCTGAACCAACACGGCAATGCATGGCCACCTCGGTGGGTGACGTGGATAGCACGGACAGTTGCTGTACTTGTTGTAGTGTTCGGTTTCTCGGCGTGCTGGCAAGGGAAGCATTCCTAACAGACCACTCGGACACGTGACTGCGGCCTATGCACGTACTGCACGGAAGAAATCCTCGGTACTTCCGTGAAGGAATCACGATCTAACACAATTAGGGAAGGGGGGGTGGGGGGGGGGGGGGGGGGGGGGGGGGGGGGGGGGGGGGGGGGTCCTTGTACACTCTTCAGTGTAATCTTCGCTAAGGGAAAATTTACCCCAAGGCATTAGTGTGGCCTATGTCGATACACTTACAGATCAGTGTAACACTAATTCTCCAAAAAAATACCCCAGCACATTAGTGTAGACCCAAAATTTCACCCTTGTAAGCATTGTAAAAGGGTAAATTACACTAATAACGTGAGCCCTGCCTATGGGGGTGTGTCAAATTATATGTGCTTTATATATGTGTAGGCTGTAGTGGGGTAGCCAATATGGGGTATAGCCCCTTTAGGGTTTCATATTTGTACCCAACTAGTGATTCCTCATTCCTGCCTAGCTATTCTGACACAACAGTTGACAATAGGGTGCGTGTTTGCGTATACCCTGCTGTGTCTTCTTGTTCTGGCCGCTCATTTTCTCATTTACAAACAGCAGCAGCAGTAACAACAGCAACAGCAACAAATGCAGCAGCAATAACAGGAGAAGCAGCGACCGCACACTGTACTGAAAGTGACGATCAATTTCCGTCACATGTCGCTGCTGACCGGTAGAACCACTATTAGAGTCAGAGCGGATGGCAGTGGTGTGGAAAGGGATTGCGGGGGATTGTGATCACGTGGAAGGAGAAGGGGGGGAAGGGAGGGGGGGTTGCAGGGAAGGGGGAGAAAGAGGGGGCCGGGGGGGTGTTGGGTGGGGTGCACAACAGGGGATGTTCATTACACGAGGGTTCCCCGTTGGAGGGTAATATCTACAGAAAGGCAGAACCATCATGAGAGTCAGAACGGACAGCAATGATGCGTAAGGGGATGGTGCAGTATTGTGATAACGTAAAAGGATTAATGAGGTGATTAAGACAAACAATGGTAGGAAAGGCAGTGGCTTGGAAGGAGAGTGAGGGGCCGTGGCTTACATGTTGGTGATCTGGATGTTGGCTGCTCCCACCGGGAGAAGGCCCTTGCACGAGGTGAGCACGCCACGCAGCATGCCTGCAGTGACGGGGATCATCAAGAGAAGCAGTAGATAGAGATTTAGCCCAAGAGCAGCAGCAGATGATGCAACAAAAAGCAGCAGCAGCAGATGATGCAACAAAGAGCAGCAGCAGCAGATGGTGCAACAAAGAGAAGCAGTAGATGGTGCAGAATGAGCAGCAGCGGCAGATGGTGCAACACAGAGCAGCAGAAGATGGTGCAAGAATGGGCACAAGCATTGTCGGGGCACAACAACAGCGGGGTTTGCGGAGTTAGGATTTCCGGGGTTGGGATTTGTGGGGGTAGGGTTTTCGGGATAAGGGTTTTCGAAAATAGTGTTTGCGGGGTTAGGGTTCGCGGGGCTGACCTGCTGGGTGCGGCAGCAGAGCCACGAGGTCCGCCACGCCAAGGGCGTCACTCAGCGGGGCGATCAGCGCGTCCACCTGCGCAGCGAGCGCCGACACGTCCAGATTAAGTGCACCCACCCTCTCAGTGAGCGCCGCCACTCTCTGACTCAGCAACGCGCGGAGGTTGGGGAGGACGCCAGCCAGGTCCGTGTTGAGCGATGTAGCGCGTTTGTTGAGAGCGGGGATGCTGCCTCTTAGCGACGAGATGCGCGACTGGAGTGCGATAGGAGTCGCCTGAGGAGCAACGCCGCCGGGTCGGGTGATTTTAAGGTACAAAATCAGGTCGAGGTTGGCAATGCATGCGTTTAGAGCGTCGATGCTGCTCTGGAGGGCGAAAATCTGCGCTTGAAGCGCCAATGTCGCCGCGGATGCGTTGTCGTTCAACGCGGTTGCAAGCTTGTTGAGCGATTGCGACAGCGCCTCTTCTAGCAAAAAGGCTTGCGCTTGTAGCGCGGATTTTAAGTCGGACACGGTACTAGCGACGGTGCTAGTGACTTGTGCTGGTCGATTCGGGATGCGATTCCCAAGCAGTCCATTGGAGACGAGTCTAAACTGAGTGCATGATGCGAATAGCGCGGTTACGAGGAGTGCCGCCACAAAAGAGGAAGCTAGAGGCGAACGCGCCATGGAGACTATAGTAGGAAACGGGTGCAATCAAGAGGGATCGCTGCTGTAACTAGGAGGTGCGAATATTGCGCGGGTGGCTAAGGAAGGCAGTGTTGAGTGATTAAAAGCGGTTACGAAGTGCGAGGAAGCATTGTGACGATTAGTCGAATAGGCTTCGGTTGTGATTGAATCTGCAGCTTGCCTCTCGACTTATAAATACCAACAGATGGGGAGTTGCTCTGACAGTGAGCGTGTAGTTTTGGGAGGGAGTGTGCGAGGTGGTGATTGACGGTTGGCTTGCGGCGATGAAATGGATGGGCGTGGGCGACGAGAGTGAGGTGCGGCGAAACAGCAACTGGCTCGGCAGGCGACTCACCGAAAACTTGATTCGCTTCACGCGGAATTGCTGTGAGCGAATTTCGCGAACCCGTTTACTGCAGGTTAGGTCGCGCCGCGTGTTACTGCAACACTGCAAATCTACATATCTACTTTATATTAGCATATGCTAGTTTCACACAATCAATATGATTCCACTAGTGTGCTTCTTGTATACCGCATGATTGTGTTGTTATTGTGTACTTAAGAGAGCAATTTTGGATACTGGAAGCAAGTGAAGTACACTCTCGCATTGCTAATTATAGACCCCAAGTACTACGCATTCAAGCATGATTCGGTGGGCACTAGGGTTTGTTGGTGTTATGAATGAGATTGAGGTGCGGCATGTGGCGCTGGTCAAGCGCTTCACAGACCACTGGTTCACGGTTCCCGCTAAGATCAGTGCAGGGGGGGATGGGAAAACAGGCCATGGACTCTGGAGACTCCCGGCGTCGCAAGTACCGCACCCTAGTGTGTGGAAACGGGTGGCACAGATTGTGCAGAGAAACATGGAGAGGGGGGGGGGGGACCTGGAATATTTGACATCCTTCCTGAGAGTCGGGCTCAAAGCCTACACTGTGGAGGAACGGAAGCGGGTAGCGGCCACACTGGAACGGGACGGGAAGTAGGGGAGCTGAGGCAGAAAGTGATAAGCAAACCCTGGTGCAAACGGGCGAAGGCGCGGCTTGTGAAGTGTGAGGCCAAACTCAGCATACATGGATGGGAGATGTCAGAAGCTGCAGGAGCAGGCGAGAATCACAGTGGAGATGAGTGGGGAGGCTCCTACCGGATTTCTGCCCGCGAAGATTGTAGCGCAGAAAGCAAAGACAAGGTTGGAGGAGGTGAACTATCAGGGGAACTTGCATGAGGGGGCAAAAGAGGCACTTAAGGCGGCACCTAGCTTCTACGCAGACTTATTCGCGGCCAAGTCAGGGTCGGAAGACTCATAGTTTAAGGGCGCGTCCCCTCCCTCGATCGATCGCAAGATCGCTGTGAAAAACGGATCGGGCACACCGATCGCACGATTGGGGCAGGATTGGTAGGATGTGACACTCGTGGATTGATCACGAGCCCTGGGTGACAGGATCGAAATTACAAGGGGGGGAAATTCTCGATCCTACAAAAGCTGAGATCGGTGTGGCTAGGAAGGCACATCGATCGTCATCAGCGGAGGTGACAAGATCGTTGAGTGCCATTTACTGTACATTCGCAAGATGTCTCGAAATTCGGTTACCCTGTAAATTGCGACGCTGTAGCTGTTCCTCGATCGATCGAGGGCAGGATCGATCGAGGGAGGGGACGCGCCCTAACTGGGTGATGGAGAGACGTTTTTCCCTCGAGGATGCAGCGGCACTCTGCGCACCACGGGAGGAGGCGGAGGTGAAGCGAGCGCTTACGGAGATGGGACGGCATCTCGAAAGGATTCTGAGAGTTGCAGTGGTGCCTGCTGCGAAGGCAGGTGATGCGATTCTTGAAGGAGTTTGAGCGGACGGCGTCGCTCAGCGGAATTTTCAACCAGGTGACGGTGCTACTGCATAAAAGGGGCGCCAAGGACGACCTGCAGAACTACCGCCCGATCATGTTGCTGAGACGTTGCTGTTAACTTGATTTGCTTCACGCGGAATTGCTGCGAGCGAATTTCGCGAACACGTTTAGGGCGCGTCTCTTCCCTTGATCGATCCTACCCTCGATCGATTGAGGGACAGCTAGAGCGTTGCAATTGACAAGGTAACTGGATTTTTAGACGGCTTGCGAATGTACAGCAATTGGTGCTCAACGATCTTGTCACCTCCGCTGATGACGATCGATGTGCCTCCCTGGCCACACTGATCTCGGCTTTTGTAGGATCGAAAGTTTTTCCCCCTTGTATTTTCAACCCTGTCACCCTGGGCTCGAGATCGATCTGCGAGTGTCACCTCTTACACTTGCCCCAATCCTGCGATCAGTGTGCCCGATCAGTTTATCACAGCGATCTTGCGATCGATCGAGGGAGGGGACGCGCCCTAACTGCAGGTGAGGTCGCGCCGCGTGTTACTGCAACACTGGATATCTACATATCTACTTTATACTAGCATATCCTAGATTGACACAATCAATATGCTTCCACTAGTGTGCTTCTTGTATACCGCATGATTGTGTTGTTATTGTGTTTTTGAGAGAGCAGTTTTGGATACTGGAAGGAAGTGCAATACACTCTCGCATTGCTAAATATTTATCAGGGATAAAATACCCTAAATACGATGCATTCAAACATGATTCGGTAGGCACTAGGCGTAGAATAACGAATAACGAGAATGATCGATTACTGAAGGATGATACACACAAAGTGGCGGAACTAAATAGGGGAAAGGCTAGCTAGGCGAAGAGCTCGGAAAGGATGGTTCGGAAAGTGTTGCGAATTGGAGCGGAGGCGACTTCGAAGTGGTTCGAGGCGGAATTGTAGGCCGAACCGGGCTGACGTGTGGCCTTCTGGTTGTACTCGCTAAAATGCGAGTACAGTAAGGAATTACAATCTGTCAAAAATTGTATTTCTTTATGTAACTACATATTAGACTAGGTAGTGTAGTATTACATCAAACTTTTATTGTTGGTGGTATACCCTCTTGCCCACCTTCACTTGCACCTATATCTTGTATCTCGCTCTATATTGAAACCCTTCTTTGTTGGCCAACTTCCTCTCGCTTCCCAAAACCCTAGGCTTATAAGCTATTATGTTTGACATGCTATCAGAGCCGGTCCCAGTTTAGGACCTATTTTCTTTTAAGGAACATGGGCCCGCCCATGCTGCAGCGCGAAATGCGCTATTTTTTTTCGTTGCCCATCGCGCCCTGCGCCCGTCGCGTCCCTCGCTTGTCGCGTCCGTCATGCCCGTCGCCATTTCCGTCGTCCGTGCAAGCGCCACCGCGGAGCGCGAGCGCCAGCACCTGCGACTGCTGCTAGCGCCAGCATGAAGCGCAAGCGCCAGCGCCAGCACGAGCTCCTACGACCAGTGCCAGCACCAACGCCTGCGCCAACGTCAACGCCAACGTCAATGCCTGCGCCAGCGCGAATGACGGCGCTAGCGCCTGCACCAGCTACCGCCTCCCCCCCCCCCCCCTCCCCCTCCCCCCCCCCGCCCTCTCTTACGCAGCTTCCGTCATGGGGGGGAGGGGGGGGGAGGGGAAGGGAAGATGTGGGGGTGGCAGGTGTGAGCAACCAGCAGCCCGTCACGAGCAGCCCGTGTGAGAGGACGTTTCCGTTATTTATTATATTTTTTCTTTTTTCTCATTCTCACTTTTCTCCTCTTTATTTTATCTCAATCGGCCTTATATTCTATTTCCTAGAGCCTTCTCTTAATTTCACTTATTTCCTATTATTCCCACCGACATATTTATTATACGGCACCGACAGCGCCGACAGTGGTGTATACAGTGTAATCTGGGCGTATTCCCAAGTGCTAATAGTGTCAAACTCATATACTATAGTCTGTGTAGGCTGTAGTGGGGTAGCTTACATGGGGTACAACACTTTAGGGTTTGGTACTTGTACTCCTCATGCTGCTCAATGCATCCATTCTCGTTCTCATTTTCACATGGTATAGAGCAGGTTCCCTAGTGGGAACTTTTCCTAGGGCCCACCCAAATCAATATTTTTTTTTCCTGCCCGGGGCGCGCGTCGCCCCTGCCCGAGGCGCGCTCGGTGTGCTGCCTTTAGCGGCCCGTCGCGCCCTCCACACGCTGCCTTACGCGACCCCTTCGCCGCCCTTAGCGGCCCCGTCGCCCCACCTTCGCGGCCCCGTCGCCGCCCTTACCGGCCCCGTCGCCGCCTTACGCGACCCCGGCGCCGCTCTCCGCGGCCCCGTCGCCCCACCTCTGCGGCCCCGTCGCCTCCCTCCGCGGCCCCATAGCCACCCCTCGCGGCTTCGTCGCCGCCCCACCCGGCCCTGTCGCCGCCCTTTCGCGGCCTTGTCGCCGCCCCTCCACGGCCCCGCCGCCCCTTGCGGCCCTGTCGCCGCCCTCGGCGGCCACATTGCCGCCCTTCAGCGGCCCTTCCGCCCTTAGCGGCCCCGCCGCCGCCCTACTGCGGCCCCGACGCCGCCCTTCTGCGGCCCCGCCGCCGCCCTTCTGCGGCTCCGACGCCACCCTTCACGGCCCCGCCGTCGCCGCCGAGCCGCCGAGCTGCCAGCCGCCGAGCTGCTGTTGCCGCCGTGCCGCCGAGCCGCCGTTGCTGCCGTTGCCACCGAGCCGCCGAGCTGCCGAGCCGCCGAGCATCCGAGCCGCCGAGCCGCCGTGCCGCCGAGCCGCCGAGCCGCCGTTGCCGCCGAGCCGCAGTTGCCGCCGTTGCCTCAGCCGCCGCAGCCGAGTTGCCGCCGTCACTGCAGTTTCGGCCCTGTCCCTGCCGGCGAGCCTCGGTCCTTCTCGCCTGCCCGGTAAGAGCAGCGCCTCTGCCACTGCACTGCCCTTAGCCTGCTGCTCTCACTGCTCGTCTACTGCTGTCATGGCCACCCCCAGTGTTCTCACCTTTGACGCTGAGGGTCGGGCTGTTGACTTTGAGGTCTGGCTCGATGATCTGCAGCTTTTCCTACAGTGCGATAGGGCAGACGGTCTCTCCCTCTTTGACCTCACCTCTGGTGCCTCTCCTTCCCCTACTGCTGATGCTGACGCCAC